AAGATTTATTTTCACAATGTTTTCGCTCAAATGAGAGAAAGGAAAACACTATTTTTTTTGAAAATCAAATTTCTTTATTCTATTTAATAGTGTTTTTTTTTTGGCTCAATTAACACGGGGAAGTATAGACAGACTTGAAGCATTTTCTATCGGTTTTCCATTTTCCTTTATCTTGCCATATCTCCAGTGATGTCTCGTCATCCTTTTTTTTCTGCGTTATCAAGTAAAAATACACCAACATTGAACATGCGTAATGTACATGTATATATGGAAAACAAATTGACTTGCTTAAAACTAAAAGAAGATACAGTAGCAGGACCGAACGAAAAAGAATATTAATGGTATAACAGTGTCAATCAGAGTCACGTGGGGGAAGACCAGATACCAACAGACTGGAAAAGAACGCAAAAACTCAAAAGGTATTAAAAAGTTGGAACAATTATATCTCGACTCAACATTGAATTGAAGATTTTTTTTTTTTGCTGTAAAAACAAGAAATTATGTTTTTTTAATTTTAGTTCATTCATATGTTTTGGAGTTTAGTATGACGTTCATTTTCAATGAACTAGTACACATATTTATTTAGGAGCCAGCTGAGGACCACCCCCGGATGTGGAATTTTCTCGCTGCGTTGAAGACCCATTGGGGACCTTCGGCTTTTATCTGCTCTTTGATCGGGTTGTTGTCTCTTTGACATATTCCACATTTTCTGGTGATATGTCCTCATGGAATCAGGATATACCCTTAACTCTTTGGTTGACATGCATCTAGCGACTCTAATGAAAGCATTTCAGGAATGGAGCTGTGATGTGTTCCTTACAGTCAGGTTTTGGGACATGTTTCTGAATTCTGTGAGTAGCATGCTACAAGACATTCGAGCAGAGAGAAGTGGTATATGGCCACTACATTTGCGTTCAGTCCACGCTATGCTCCCATTATGTTTTGAGACCAACAGGAATATTTATTCTAGATGGACTCCTGTATACCTTCTTGATATGCTCAATCTCCCAGCAGAAGTTGAAGCACGTTTTAATGATGGGTTCTTAGCTATACGTTAAAAAGCTGTTTATTCAATGGAGTGTGTCGGTCTCAAGCAGCTGGTGTACACGAGGTATATCATGTAAATGAAGGAAGCAGTATCCCAGGCTGGAAAAAAATCCTGGCGAACTATAGGAATAAACAGGTTTTGATCTGCTTCATCGGGGAATTTATATCGAAATTTTATTGTGCCAGTAATCCACTGCCTGTCGGACAAACATTATATCTAGCAGGGACTTTCCAAAATCCGGAAATCGTAAAAAAAAAAAATTACGATCAAATAACTGACTGTGCAAGCTTGTTCAACACACAGGAGGAACCGACACAATATTCGTTTTACATGTTCTCCATGAAGACGAACAATTTAAGAAGTGTGATGTTAATAGGAAGAACGATTGTCAAACGTTCTGACACTGATGTTTTAGTTCTCTCTGTTCATTACTTTCCTCGAATGCTTAACACAGATCAGCTATGGCTATTCATGGGTTCTGTCACTAGTGGTAAGGATGGTAGGCGATACATCCCCGTGCATGAGTTGTGTAGTTCCCTAACAAACATTCTACCAGCAGCTCATGCTCTTACTGGTTGTGACACCACATCAAGTCTTTGGCATTGGGAAAAAGTCTGTTTTTAAGCTTTTGAAGTCTTCATCCGCAGAACTGGCGGGTCTATCACAACTGAGTAACTCAGATATTGACTACTCTATCTGTGTTGCAAGAAAACTTGTATCTAAGTTGTATGACCCAAAAGGCAAATATAAGTCAAGTCACCACGATTTGTACAAGTTACGTGTTAGACTTGCAACTAGCATAGGCTGCTATTGTTCGTCTTCCACTGAATGAATCGTCATTCAAACAACACGTTCTAAGAGCCAACATACAAACAAACATATACATGACATCACATCAAGAAAAGCCGCCAATAGGTTCACCCTATGAATACGGTTGGAAAAAATCTACAATGGTCCAATCCCAGTTCTGTTCACTGCACTTATGTCATCAGACTTTCTTCAGGATTTGATTTGTTCTCGCAAAGGAAAACAAATTTTTAGTAGAAGATGTGTTTGTTGCACAGAACTTTTGCCTTGTCAAGGAACCGATCTCTGTTCTGATATATTGACAAGTCAACAGAACCCTGACGATTACAGCGAAAAGGAAGCTCTTCATACTACATTTCAATGTTAAAATATGAATTTAATTTGGTTTCAGTGTTAATAAATCACAAGATGAAATTTCGCATTGTGTGATTATTTTTTTAACATTGCGTTCCATTGGATGAAAAATGGACATGAAAACTCCTAATTCAAATAATCAAAACCCCTTTGGTGTACCCTAAAAAATATCTACCGAAAGAAAAATAATAAAAAAATAACCCGCCAGACGGTTTACGACCTTGACATGATTGGTAGGCTTTACACAAACAGGAGGCCCTATTTATTGTTGATGCGCCAAAATTGTCTAGTTTTGACACCCTTTTATTTCGATATTTATCTCACTATTATAATTGTATCTTTAAAAAAAATCATTATTTCCTTTAAAGATGCATGATGGAACCAAAGTTACAATATAAAATAGTACGTTTAAGGTCAAATGTATTCGTATTCAGTCATATCTTTCCAAAAGTAAAGTTCTTCTCATATCAGAGTAGAAACGTCAAAATGACGTCAATTATCGCTCTTGCATGTAGCGTATGCAATTTCCAATCGAAGAAACAATATCATTATATTGTATAAATTAAACATACCCCGATTTCATAACCCCCGCAGCTTCAAATAAGTTCAAAATGCTAAAAAATTGGGAACTCTTAAAATTTTCTCGTCTGATCTTTGACCCGGATTTTTAAATAAGTGCACCATATTTCACTTTTACGACCGGGCAAAATGAAATCTACACATTTGTCCCTTTCCAAAGATATATAATTTAGCTATGTGTTAGATAGGTGCATTAAAAATATTTTTAGGTCTGAATGTCACTCGCCTACTGGTATTTGTAACTAAATATCACTTTTCATTAGGAAATATAAATAAAGCTTTGCGTAAACATTATAAAAAACTTCTTCGCAATGAGAAATGTAGAGAGCTATTTCCAAAACCACCAATGGTGGCGTATAGTAGACGTCGGAACTTAAAAGAAATACTGACTAGCTCGGTAGCCAAAGCTTAGTATAACATGAAGGATTGGGTCAAGACCCCTGAAGAAGCACCCACCCTTCATATGATCCACGGAATATTGTAGAGTTTGTCCTATTCTGTACTGCAGAAACACGATGTGTTGGGTCCTGGAGAATAGGCAAACGTGGCTGTTAGGTACTTTCAGACATTCAACATCATAAAGAAAAACCTCATCATAATAAAGAAAACCCTCATCATAATAAAGAAAACCCTCATCATAATAAAGAAAAATCTCATCATAATACAGTAAAACCTTATCATAATATAGAGAAAAAACTCATCATAATAGAGAAAAAGCTCATCATAAGAATGAAAAACCTCATCATAATACAGAAAAACCTCATCATAATAAAGAAAAACCTCATCATGATAAAGAAAAACCTAATCATGATAAAGAAGGAAGTACCATAAGGCAGTTACGGCGTTCCATACATTAGGATCCTTATTAAAATCAAATAAAGGCTTCGCAGACCTGCTGGATGGAAAACTGGTTTAATAATGTTTTGGGCTAAATTCAGTCACTTTAGATTCAAATGTCAGATTACAAAAACCAGTAGAACTTTTTTTTATTAAATTATTATACACAGTTCTGTCTAAACTGGTAACTTTCCTCTAAAAACATCATTCTTTTCAATGTGTTTGTATCAACCGGTTGTTATTTCTTGCCAAAAGTTTCGTGACAAGTTTCTGTCAACCGTCATATTGTAATCCTGCTTTTAGATTAATAAAGACTGAGTAGAGGTTGGTTCCAATAAGTTGAAAAAAACTTCAAGCGTAGTTGCCATCTAGTTACAACAATTGTCTATAGCACTTTCCTCAAAAATAATATTTTGAAGCAGGTGATTTCCCTTGTCATGAAGTAAAACTGCTTCGCGGGAATGACGCTGAATTAAGGGCATCCGATACAGTTTCACGTTATATTGTCATTATTATAATTTTGAAATATGTTGTAGGCCTGGGCGAGTTATAAAAAGAAATCACCAAAATAAAACATAGGTCACCGTGCTTATTTTCGAGAAAATTGAGGCTAAAAATTTGGGTATTTTTCACTTTTCAAAAAAGGTAAGCAAAGTTTTAAAAATTTTGGAGTAGATATTCTTTGTCATAAATTGATAAGATTGGATTCAATCTGATGCTGTGATTAGTGAAAATATGGAGAAAATAAATCCCCACAAGAATAACTTAGTCTAGTTAGTTATTCAGGCTATGCTTAAAACTAGGGATAATATGCTCACAGTAGGATATTTTTTTTTACCTTAAAATGTGGAAATCGAGAGGTTAATCTTATATTGTAATTTTTCTCATTTTTCTACATTAACTGCCTTTTGTCATGCTTACTCAAAATAGCAAATAAAAAAATACATGTCACCGTGTTGAATTCAAAGATAAATCGCGATTTATCCTAAAAATTGCGTCCCCCCTTGGTAACTTCAAAACATTTATAATCTTGAAAGTAAACGTTCAGAAATAACACATAATGTTGATGAAACCTCAAAGTATACATGTAGCTCTGATAATTTTTGAAGATATAAAAACCTTAAAAAAAGTGCATCAGTGTATGATAAATATACAAATTATTAATGGTCGTTTGCCATCAACATTTTTGTAATGAAACTCGACTTTTGGACTTAAAGTAGGACATTGTTTTTTTATTTACTTCTTATCGTTGCTCTTCCCTGCAGTGAACCAGTATTTATACCATTATACTTCCAAACAAGGGAAATAATTCATATACAATTGTAATTTCTAAATCAGATTTGGGCATTCGGAAGTTCGTTTCTATAAAGATTTATAATTGTCGTTTTTCTGGTAACTTAAGTCACATGTGCGAACGCAACTAAGATACTATCTAATTACCACTTCTGCTTAATTTTAAATCAGAAAAAGACGATGTTGTTGAAAATAATATTCAGCCAGGCATTTATCATCATCGCCATCAGGTAAGTGAACCGATTTTTCTCACTTTCAATAGCCAAAATCGAAAATATATATTGGGGTTGCATTTAAAGGCTATATATACATAAATTAAGTTACTTCATTGTTTACTAAGTTCTAGAAATGTGTCGCAATTTGTACGTACAAAGTAACTTTTTAAGTTTGGAGATTTTTAAATATATATACTAATCGTTTATTCTACATTTTTGATTTATCTCATGAATATACTTTATAAAGAAATCTTAGGAAGCGACAACAATTTATTTGTATTTATACATGTTTACATTTTAATCGATTTAATGTGTCATACGTTACGTATTATGTGTATTTGTAATGAGACACCCCGATTCATCTTATCAATACTGTGCTAGACGGCTACACTGATATTTAGTGTCACTTGTAAACTTTAAGTGCAACTTGTAAACTTTCTTTTATGTTATGGATTTAAACGAAATGTAAGCGGCTCATTTTATAATTTTCTGGGGGAAGAAGGATTTTTAAACTGAATAACGTGTCCTGGTAAGAACTTAAAATAAATAACTTTGCACAAGACATGATGAAAACTAATATTCTGCAAAAGTGGAAACAGAAAAATCCTTCGATCCCCCGCCCTTGCGGATACCAGAATATCAGATGATCGTCTCTTAATGGAGGTAAATTAAGAAATGTTAATTTTTACTTTCATTTTTGTAAAACTAGGAATTCAAATTGGTTGACACATTAAAAGTGTTCTAATGCTTTGCTTCTACCCAACTACCCAAAAAAGAAAAATGTGTATTCATATAATATACATGTACTATCATTTAATGCCGATTATTTATACAAACACAGCTTATAATTGTCGACCATCTCATTCACTGATTGTGTTGGTATGAGTTCGGGCTGATAGTCATAAAACTACTGAAGTTAAGTTATACAATCGTAATACTAATTTATCGTAGGAAATGAAAAAAATCCTTCCGTTTGGAACAAATCTAATTTTAAGTATGCATACGGGCCCAGATCAAGTGAAAAAAGTGAGGAAAATAAGCGGAAATATATGTTTGTACTGAAATTAATCGGTCAATCTGTACAGAAAATGATAAAACGCGATTCATTTCCCTAGCACCTATATCAGGTTAGTACAGTTTTTAAAATACTAAATCCCTGGGATGTGTTTTAGTTGATTGTAGTCTCATTATTAATTGTTTTGGCTTTTAACTATAGCTGTCAGTAACTGCGAGTACTCAAATCGTACTTTCTTGTTAATTTGACCTGTTGATACTATTTGTAATGCTTTTTATACGACCGCAAAAAAATTTTGTGGTCGTATATTGGTATGACGTTGGCGTCGTCGTCGTCGTCGTCGTCGTCCGTCGTCGTCGTCCGGCGTCGTCGTCCGAATACACATTGGTTTTCGCACTCTAACTTTAGTTTAAGTGAATGGATCTTTTTGAAATTTGACCATAAGGTTAAATACCACAAAAGGAAGGTTGGGATTGATTTTGGGGGTTATGGTACCAACAGTTAAGGAATTAGGGGCCAAAAAGGGGCCAAAAATGAGCATTTTCTAGTTTCCAGACAATAACTGTGGAACGGTGTATGGATCTCTCTGAAATTATACTACAAGTTTCCATACCACAAAGGGATGGTTAGGATTTGCTTTGGGGGGTTATGGCTCAAACCGTTTAGGAACTAGGGGCAAAAAAGGGGGAAAAACAAGGTTGTCCTGGTTAATGGACAAATACTTTAGTACAAAACATAATTTAAAGCAGTGTAAGGGAGATAAATCAAATACATCATTGAAATTATCTCCCTTACACTGCTTTTAAATTATGTATAAAGTAATGGTTAATGAACAATAAAGATAATCTAAAACAGTGTAAGGGAGGTAATCCAAATACAACGTTTTGGTTACTTCCCTTACACTGCTTTTAAATTATGTTTAAAGAAATGCATATTTATAAAGGAAGACCAGTAAAAATATCTGCAAATGTTGCATCTTTTTTTTTTACAAAAAAATCCATATGAAAGATTTGACACTATATTTTTATTAATTCTATTATAAAATAGATTAAGTTAGCACTATGGTAAATTTAAATGGGTAATTATGGTTGCCAACTCCATTGGAAATTTGAATTGAGATTATGACCATATCTTGAGGGAAAGAATTTTTTTTGGGGGAAAAGGGGGGGGGGGGGGGGGGGTAAAAAGAAATTGTGGGGGGCCAATTTTTTCTCATTTCAGATTTCAGAAATTAAAAAGAATTATTCTTCAAATATTTTTTTTTTTTCAAATTTCAAATATTGAAAAATTTCAAGAAGTAATCTTTAATTGCACAGTATGGCGTATTAGATTTGTAAAATCTTTGATCACATTTATTTATTTGTCATGCCGAATCTAACAGTGTATTTAGATTTTTAATTTTTGGTCCAGTTTTCAAATTGGTCTACATTAAGGTCCAAAGGGTCCAAAATTAAACTTTGTTTGATTTTAACAAAAATTGAATATATGGGGTTCTTTGATATGCTGAATCCAAACATGTATTTAGATTTTTGATTTTTGGCCCAGTTTTCAAGTTGGTCCAAATTGGGGTCCAAAATTAAACTTTGTTTGATTTCAACAAAAATTGAAGATATGGGGTTCTTTGATATGCTGAATCTAACCATGTATTTAGATTTTTTATTTGTGGACCCCGTTATCAAATTGGTTCATATTGAGGTCAAAAGGGTCCAAAATTAAACTTTGTTTGATTTCATCAAAAATTGAATTATTGGGGTTCTTTGATATTCCAAATCTAACGGTGTATTTAGATTTTTAATTTTGGGTCCTGTTTTTTAAATTGGTCTACATTAAGGTCCAAAGGGTCCAAAATTAAACTTAGTTTGATTTTAACAAAAATTGAATTCTTGGGGTTCTTTGATATGCTGAATCTAAACATGTGTTTAGATTTTTGATTATGGGCCCAGTTTTCAAGTTGGTCCAAGATAGGGTCCAGGATTTAAACTTTGTTTGATTTCAACAAAAATTGAATATATGGGGTTCTTTGATATGCTGAATCTAAACATGTATTTAGATTTTTGATTATGGGCCCAGTTTTCAAGTTGGTCCAAATTGGGGTCCAAAATGAAACTTTGTTTGATTTCAACAAAAATTGAATATATGAGGTTCTTTGATATGCTGAATCTAACCATGTATTTAGATTTTTTATTTGTAGGCCCCGCTATCAAATTGGTTCATATTGAGGTCAAAAGGGTCCAAAATTAAACTTTGTTTGATTTCATCAAAAATTGAATTATTGGGGTTCTTTGATATGCCAAATCTAACCGTGTTTTTAGATTTTTAATTTGGGTCCCGTTTTTTAAATTGGTCTTCATTGAGGTCCAAAGGGTCCAAAATTAAACTTAGTTTGATTTTAACAAAAATTGAATTCTTGGGGTTCTTTGATATGCTGAATCTAAACATGTGTTTAGATTTTTGATTATGGGCCCAGTTTTCAAGTTGGTCCAAGTTGGGGTCCAAAATTAAACTTTGTTTTATTTCAACAAAAATTGAATATATGGGGTTCTTTGATATGCTGAATCTAACCATGAATTTAGATTTTTTATTTGTGGGCCCCGCTATCAAATTGGTTCATATTGAGGTCAAAAGGGTCCAAAATTAAACTTTGTTTGATTTCATCAAAAATTGAATTATTGGGGTTCTTTGATATTCCAAATCTAACCGTGTATTTAGATTTTTAATTTTAAGTCCCGTTTTTTAAATTGGTCTACATTAAGGTCCAAAGGGTCCAAAATTAAACTTAGTTTGATTTTAGCAAAAATTGAATTCTTGGGGTTCTTTGATATGCTGAATCTAAACATGTGTTTAGATTTTTGATTATGGGCCCAGTTTTCAAGTTTGTCCAAGTTGGGGTCCAAAATTAAACTTTGTTTGATTTTAACAAAAATTGAATATATGGGGTTCTTTGATATGCTGAATCTAACCATGTATTTTGATTTTGGACATTGGACCATAATAGGTAAATTAAAAAAATTCAAGTTCTTAGACCACATTCTTTCTGTGTCAGAAACCTATGCTGTGTCAAATATTTAATAACAATCCAAATTCAGAGCTGTATCAAGCTTGAATGTTGTGTCCATACTTGCCCCAACTGTTCAGGGTTCGACCTCTGCGGTCGTATCAAGCTGCGCCCTAGCGAAGCATTTTATTTGTTATTTAATGTTTACTTATTCAGGGTTATATTTGGTATATATACCAGCTTTGATAAGTGTTTGGTATTACTATAATTTTCACTTCTTCGTACTATGAACATCAAAATTGTTTATTTTGTAAAAACATTTCCTTTCTCCATTTAAACTGTATACTTTTAACAACAAAATTATTTTCACTTACCTGTGTAAATTATTGTTAATGGCGGATTTTTGCTCAAGATTATTGCTGCTTTTTATACTCCCGTTTACGGGACGTATTATGGTATACCGTTGTCCGTCCGTCTGTCCGTCGTTAACATGTCGGACATTAACTCTAGAACGCTTTAACCAATTTGCATAAATCTTTGGTGAATTGTTCATATCTTTTGACGTGAGCTCCCTTTCGTTTTTTTATAAAATTTAGAATTTACGTTTCCGAGTTATGGGGTTTTATTCATTAAAAAAGGGAGATTTTCCAGTTTTCGTACAATTAATCAAGAATGCTTTCACCAACTTGCAAGAAATTTTGATGCATTGTTTATATCTATTGACATGAGCTCCCTTTTGATTTTTATAAATTTTCGATTTTTCGTTTCCGAGTTGCAGGGTTTTATTCATAAAAAAGGGGGATTTTCCAGTTTTCCGACAATAACCCAAAAATTCTTTCAGCAGTTCTCATGCAACTTTGGTGGATTGTTAGTATCTATTAATGTAAGCTCCCTTTAGAATTTTATAAATTTTAGATTTTACATTTCCGAGTTATGGGGTTTTATTCATTAAAAAAGGGGGGATTTTCCAGTTTTCGGACAATAACTCACAAATGCTTTCAGCAATTCTCATGAAACTTTGGTGAATTGTTTATATCTTTTGATGTAAGCTGCCTTTTGATTTTCATAAATTTCTAATATGAAATTGAAAAGTAATTGAACTTTATCCTCTGAAAATGTGACGGGCTTATCATTCGCTCATGGCGCAGCTGTTTATTCTGAAATTGTTTAACATTTCACAGCGGTATAATACTGTAACATTAATTATTCATCCCTTATTTTATTGATTTTGTACTTTAATTTACATTGTATCGTAGATCAAATTTATTCGTTCACGGTGTATGTTCACTTGTGTAATTATGTCTTTTGATGGAGTTAAGCCATTTCAATTGATATTTTATAGTGTGTCTTTCTTTGTTGTGATGATACACTTTTGTTTCAGATAAGGGTGAAGGTTTGTACCTATTAAAACGTTTAAACCCACTACAATTGTTTGCACTTGTTCTAAGTGAGAAATCTGATGTTCAGTAGTTGTCGTTTGTTGATGTGCATGGTTCATAAGTGTTTCTCGTTTCTCGATTTTTATATAGATTAGACCGTTGGTTTTCCTGTTTGAATGGTTTTACACTAGTCTTTTTGGGGTCCTTTATAGCTTGCTGTTCGGTGTGAGCCAAGGCTCCGTGTTTAAGACCGTACTTTGACCAATAATAATTGTTTACTTTTATAAATTGTGACTTGGATGGAGAGTTGTCTCATTGACACTCATACCACATGTTCTTATATCTATTGTATATCAATTGATCAAAAGCATGAAAAGGGACATATTGATTTATCTCAATGGGATGCTTAATAATTCTTTACTTGATCGACAGGAACATGAGGAATGTTTTCCCTTCTGTCCTCAGTGGAAGATCCAGAATTTTTATAAGGGGGGGGGGGGGGGGGGGCACTGACTGCCATGAGAGGAGGCCAGCTACAGTCATGCATCAGTGATTCCCTATATAATCAACCATTTTTTTCCAACGAAAAAGGGGGAGGTGGCAGGCCCCCTTGATCCGCCTTTGTTTCTGGTCGATTGCTCTGTTTACTGCGGGAACTTCCAAACTGAAAGATACCCATATGATCAAATGCCAGACTTGAGGTGCATTTTGGCTTTTTGTATCAGTGGTTGCTGTCAAATTGACTTGTATTCTACATATGTTTTGTTCATTTGTACATTATAATGTAAAACAAGTTGCATAAGTAAATGAATATTATGCTTTTATTGATATATTTGTTTTAAGAAATATTTTTATGTTTTTCAGGGGTGTCAAATATGTTGATGTGTGTCCTGATAAACAGACATGGAAGACTAAAGCAAACGATGTGTGTCCAAATCTTGATGAAGAATATCATTGTATGTTTGATACAGAATGTAACTTAGTGGAAGACTGTAGACGGAAACAAACAAATAATCATATTACACTTTATTTTTTTGAACAGAATATCTCAAATTTTAAAATAAAGACAGTACCTGTTATGAGCTCAAATGATCCAGACTATCATAAATTACAGCAGGCAACATTCTGTAAGAGTGCTAGCAATATTAGCAAATCTACTCCTTGTGATTATAACAATAATACGTCTGTATCAAACAATACTATCGATCAAAACAGTGATACTACTGATGAAGGTTGGGAAGCCTGCTGTATATCATTTGTTACATTGTTTATTATTTCTGTTGCATTAGCTATAATCATTCCTTTCATAATATTTAAAATAATACGATTTAAAAAAAGCGATGAAAGAAACGAAGAAGGCAATTCGTCGATAGAAATAAATAATGAGTCAGACAGAGTGAAAAAAGAAAACTGTGATGTCAAGGAACAATTATTACAGCTCAAAGAAGAGAAACACAATATCGAGGAACAACTGAATGTATTACAGCTCAAATATATGAATGGAGAGCAAAATTACAGCCAGGGCCGCTTTGCACAAGAAAGTTCGTCAGTTGGACAGACAGTCCCAGTTTCTTTTCAGGAAACTGACATCTTAATATGAACAGAGGATTTTTTTATAGTTTTTTTTTTAAAACATAATTTTGAGAGTAAATATATATTTTAGTAATTATTGATTGGGACTTTTAAGTGATTTTCCATTAAAAATTTCAACTTTATACTGTGTTTTTGTAACTATAAGGTTTCAATAAACACATTTGTTTAACAGATATATAAATGGGTACTCATATTTCGGAAGTGTGCAGAAATCCTCAAACTGTCATGTCTCGATGTTTTTGGCATTTGTCTATAGAATGTTTCTCGTAGAAATTGTATGTAAACCCCTCCCTCCACACAAAAATAAAATAAAGTGAAAAAAAAATGAAAAAGTAATAAAATGAAAATAATAATAAAAAAAGACAAAAAAAGCAGAAAATTGTTTACAAAAATACATCAGAACATTGCAAGTTAAGCAGTTGATATAGTATATCATAAGTTTATCTGAATGCGCATATGGTTCAGTAAAAATGAATACCGTTAATTAACATATTTTATTCCAGTATTTTGTGTATTATACTGTGTGTAATGCTGATGTCGTTTCAGAATCAATAAGTATTTTACTGAAACCGCCTTGTTGGTTTTGTGATTCAATGTAGTGTGCTTGTCTCGAGTGCGAGAGGTCGAGGTTCATATCCTCTACACAGGCAAAATTTGCGCACGTGAATTTCACATGAATCTTGCATGAAATTCACGTGAAAATTTTCACGTGAGATTCACCTCAAACGAGCTTATACATGAAACTCACGTGAAAATTTTCATGTGAATTTCACATGAATCTCGCGTGAAATTTTTTACATTAATTTCACGTGAACTTAAAAAAAATGGCATTTTTCATCATTTTGACTAAATTTGAACATTTAGATGTTATTTGAATAACATTATTCTAAATATTCACATGAATTTCACGTGAAAAAAATTCATGTGATTTTCACATGAAATTCACATGACTTTAACATAAGATTCACGTGAAACTAACATGAACTGATTTCACGCGAGTGTCATATATAAGCTCGTTTGAGGTGAAATTTACGTGAAATTCGAGTGAGATTCACATGAATTTATATTCACGTGAAATTGATGCGAGTGAAATTTCCCTGTGTACCAGGTCAAACATTTGAAATTGCTACTCATCAACCAATTGGCGTTTAGGATTAAGAGCAAAACTGGTAGACAAATAGAGAGAGCAATAATGCATCCTAGAATGTGACATGTATACAAAAGGTGAAAATGGTCAAACATTTTGTAGGTTCGTAAATATACAAAATGTTTGACATTGTTTGAGATTATTTGGTCTGTCCTTTCAGTAATTAATTGTCTGTTGACTTTGACACTTTTGTCTTTTGTATATTCGGAATGTCCATCCTTTCATTTTGCCAACTATACCGATAGTAGTACAATGTTGCCATTTAAATTTTAGCTTTAGTTGCATTATACAACTTGAATTACACACAAGCGTGACATACATTGTAACTCGGTGTCAACAAACCATTGTTATCGAATATATACAGTATTCAAAAGTTAAGTGGTTTTCCTTCACTGATTTTATTGAATGTTCCTTAGGTCTTTTCCTGGTCCACGGATCGAGATAAAAAAAGACAGGGTTAATTGGCATCTCCCTTATATTCATCTACCTGTCCCAAATCAAATGTCTTAATGGTTTTTATATTGGTATCACGTTGTCGTCGTCGTCGTCGTCGTCGTCGTCCGAAAACATTTGGTTTCCGGACAATAACTTTAGTATAAGTAAATAGAAATCTATGAAATTTAAACATAAGGTTTATAAACACACAAGGAAGGTTGGGATTGATTTTGGGGGTTATGGTCCCAACAGTTTAGGAGTTAGGGGCCAAAAAGGGGCCCAAATAAGCATTTTTCTAGTTTCATGACAATAACTTGTGGAACAGTGTATGGATCTCTCTGAAATTATACCACAAGTTTCCATACCACAAAGGGATGGTTAGGATTGGCTTTTGGGGTTTATGGCTCAAACCGTTTAAGAATTGGGGGTAAAAAAGTGAGAAAAACAGGGTGTCCTGGTTAATGGACAATTACTTAAGTACAAATTACAGTGTAAGGGAGGTAATTCAACCACAACTTTGAATTACCTCCCTTACACTGCTTTTAAATTATGAATAAAGAATTTTTGTATTGTCTTGAGGTGATTAGCTGTCAATTCATTTTTAGAAGTTACTATTTTAATAATTTTAAAAATGCTGATTAAGGTAAATTAATTTTAGCTATGATTATGTATGTCATTTTCTATTTTAAGACTTTTATGATGTATTTAAATGGGTTATTACGGTTGCAAACTCCATTGGAAATTTGAATTGAAATTATGACCATGACTGAGGGAAAGAATTTTTTTTGGAAAAAAGGGGGGGGGGGAGATTTAAAAAAAATGGGGGGGGGACAATTCTTTCTCCTCAAGATTTCAGAAATCAAAGAGAAAATCCTTCAATTTTGTTTTGGAAAAAAAGGGGGGAGGTCAATTCGCAACAGCATAGTGTATTACACAAAAGCAAAAAATTGAATATAAATTCAAATCACATAACCAATTATAAGTTCTTTGACTACAGTTATTCTGTGTCAGAAACTTATTATGTGTCAAATATTGAATTACAATCCAAATTCAGACCTGTATCAAGCGCGAATATTGTGTCCATTTTTGCCCCAACTGTTCAGGGTTGGACCTCTGCGGTCGTATCCAGCTGCGCTCGGCGAAGCAATTTATTGATTTTTTTAATTGTTTTTCCAGCATTAGTTGTTGGTGGCAGGTATTTGATGTATTTAGTTTTTATTCGAATCATTCAAATCATTTTAGACTAAGGACGATATAAAGCTTGGCGTATTGTAAAGGCATATGTCTATTGTTGAAGACTATATGTTGCTCTCTAGATTTTGTTTGTGTGTAGGTGTCGTTTGGTTGCTCTCCCATTATCGTATAACGCAATCGCCTCTAATCAACATAGTCGCCTCTAATCAACATAGTCGCCTTTAATCAACATAGACAGAAAATTGTCTTCAGTTTATAATGATATTTCAGAATCTCATATATGTGAATGGCATGCATCGTTAATTTTTTTCAGCACCCAGAAGGATCGCGTAAAATGTTTACACAGAGTCCATGTTGCTGATATCTAGTGTCTTAACGAATAGGTATTTTTGTTTAGACTTCAATAAGACGAAAACACCATAAACTATTCTTAAAATAGAAAAGACACGTGTTTTGTTACCATTGTTTAAATGTAAAGCTTAGGAATAAACGTGATACTAGCATTTCGGGTGAGCGATACAAGACCAAAGCAAGTTCATTGAAACAAATTAGTGATCTTTATTTTATGTATCCTGCATGTGTCTGCAATGAACAGTAAAATTATAATAAACAGAAGCATGTATTATGATAATGGTTAATAAGTACCTTGGAAATTCCAATTTCAAAACTCTAGGAATTTAAAAAAAAATCTTAAATTTTGTTAAGAAAAAATTATATAATATTCCAAATTAGAGTTATCTTTCGTGAACCAACGATTACGAAAGTTCTTAGTAATCTTTGTTAATTTCCATATCAAATTGCTTAGAAGCAGGGAGTTTTACACTTGTTTAGGTGTAGCTTACTTTTAACAAGCAGCACCGAATAACGTGCAAGTTCCAACTATGTACTGGCTTCCGAAACTGCACAAAACACCTTACAAATAAAGATTTATATCGTCTTCCAGCCATTAACTGTTCCTCTACTTAACTGTCTATTCTACCTACAAGTACTTGGTACAATAAAAAACCTGGCAGTGAATCGTTTTAGATACTGTATGTTGATGATATATTGGCTCTCAATAATGACGAACTCAGTATGTACACTAAAGAGATTTATCCTGCTGAACTGAACACTGCCCTTTCCTGGAACTTGATATCTATATTTTTAACGGGAAGCTTATACTATATCTAATACCAAAGTTTACGACAAAATTTCTAAATGGTGACGTTCCGTTTCCGCTTTCATCTTATCGTGGTTATTTATCTCAACTTGTTCGATTCGATTTGTTATGAAACAACGTTCTTGATTTTAACGAAAGAAACCGCTGTATTACTGAAAAATTATTATACCAGGGTTTTCGATATCACAAACTTTTACTAAATTTTACATCGGTACAAGGACATCATTCGTAAATATAAATCAACATGCAGTCATCTTATACTTTCAGGTATTTCACACCCAATCTGTTATGGTAATATTCTATATAAACCAACAAGGGTGACTGGACATAGTACTAGCACATTACTAGACCCGATTATAATCAGCGACACAATTAAATATTCTATTGCCGACGTACTCAAATTACCGTCTGAAATAAGTTATCACGATGCTTCTATAATATTTTTAGAATGTCCGAGATGTGCACCCAAATCATACAAAAAAGAAATTTGGTTGTACGATAAAGCAGATTTAAATAAAATTTCTTTAGACCTTGATTCTGTCCGTTGGGATGAACTTTTTTCTGATGTTGAGGATGTTAACAAGATGTGCAATACATTTACTCAAAAACTCCTCGACATCGCGAGGCAGAGCATCCCAACTCCGTTACTCGACATATTTATATACGAAACAATGACCGACCATGGTTTGACAATGATTTAAGGAGAGAAATCGTAGAAGAGACCGATTTCGTAAAAAAGCCTTAAAAACTAAAAAAGATTGTGATATCAATAAATACAAAAAGCAGAGGAATAAAGTAAATAATATGAAAAAAGTTGCAAAAAACAAAGAAAAATTTGAAAGAAGTTTGGATAATATCATCTTAAATAACGTGGCTAACCCCAAAACTTATTGGAAAATAATGAAAATGCTTATAAAATCAAATAAAGGTTCTGGTGATTTACCCCCACTTGATAATATTATTCACGATGAAAGCATGGAAGATATAGTGTACGGAGACGACGAGAAATGTAATCTGCTGAATAAATATTTTAGTCTGATTTCTTCCGTAGAGGAGGAAGGTTTTCCCATCCCCGAAATTGAGCCAAGAACAAATATTTTTTTAAAAGATTTAGATTTTGAAAAAGATGAAATAGTCGATATAATTAAAATTTAAGATCCTAATAAGGCATCTAGTCCAGATGTCAA